TCTGTCTGTCTATCTATCTATCTATCCATCTATCATCTATTTATCGATATCATCCATCAGTCATATCTACTATCATCTACTATCTGTCAATCATATCTATTGTCTATCATCTATTTATCTACCTCCCTGTCTATCTATCTATCTATCTATCTATCTATCTATCTATCTATCTATCTATTGATCTATAATTTGTAGTTTTACAAACAAACCTACACTGCAGACCCCAGGTTGGCTTCAAGCTCCACTTCTCCTCTTAGCTTCCTGACTGCTGGTCTCATACTTTGTGACTACCAATATCAGAGAAAATTAACTTCAAGTCAGCAATGAATAGCTGCAAGAATAAATGGCTGATTCAACAGAAATCATAAAAGCACAGGTACTCTGTGATTCCATCCATGATGGAACATGAACAAATTATGAAGAAATAGAGTTTAGATAGACAATGGGAAATAGATATACTTGAAAGTGGATGCAAAGATAGCATTGGATATGTTATGCCTTCTGTTTTAGCAAACTCACAACATTATGTGCCTGACTATGGACTTCATCAGAATATATTTTTTCTTAATAAACATTAAAATAAAAGAGGCTCACTGAAATACAGCCTACCAGCACTAGTAACTGTATATAATTTGGAACTGCTACAACAAGGAACTGTTGTGTCACTACATGGCTCAGTGAGCTTCCTCGAGGCCTTGCTTCTCCTCTGCTGTGGTTATTGCAGAGTAGCCATGGTTGTTGCTTTCACACTGAACTCAATGCTGAGATCAACCCTACTGTGCACAGAGCTGGTATATGTTGTAGATTGTGTCTTTAGGTTAGATTATAAAGATCCTGGATGGGGTAATGCATGACTACTGTGTGTTGCTCACGGACATCAATAGTGCACAAGGGTAATAACTTGGGCACATTTCTGTCAGCCTTGGAAAATATGGAAAGAATGACTTATGAGAGTTTACATTTAAATTATATAAACATTGAATGATTTCTTCTCTTACGTTAATAGTTGTGAATTTTAGAGGACTCTACCCATTCTGATTTATTTGTGGGGTAATGAGTGTTTTATTAATTTGCACATATTTCAAATCTGTCTAAAATTCAAATGCACACAACATTGCAACGAACTCCATCAAGAGACCTCTAAAAATCTGGATGTGTGTCTGTGGGATTTACTTTCTGTCTGTCAAATGCTAACATAGAGGCTCACGTTCACTCTTTCAAGTTCTAAGTTTCTGTTTGATGAAGGTAATGTTTACAAAATCAGAAGCTTCAGCCTTAAAACCAGCTCTCAGTTAAGCACCTCCTTAAGCACCTAGTTAAAGGGCCCTGCTTCCCAATCCAAACATCTCAGCTCAGTGAAGATTTGCTCAAGCAAGAGTCTTCACCTGGTCAGCTCCTTCCATTGCTTAAAGCTCTGGAATCTCTGACTCTCCGGAATCATAAAACTCCTTGCCTGTAAGATTTAGGAAAGGACAACCCACTTTCAATTCTCATAGTTAACTTCTGAGTAGAGGAATGCCTACTGGAGCTTTAGAAAATTAAATCTGATCATAATTCCAGAAAGATAAAAGAAGAAGAGAGGTGAGACAGTTCTGTGGGTGAGAGTTATTGTGTGCAACTATGAGCACCGAGTTCAAATCCCCATCACCACTTAAGGAACAGAGCTTGGCCACATGCACCTATAACTCAGGACTGTTGTGTGTGGTAGGGTGGAGACAGGAGCTTGCTGTCCACCAGCCTAGCTCCAGGTTCAATGTAAGAACCTGTCTCAAGAGAACAAGGCAGAGAGTGATACAGTGGAACCCTCAGTGTTTTCCTTTAGCGTCTGCTCTTAGGCATGTGCACAGGCATGCATATCTGCATGTATCTGCATGTAACATACATATGTGCATATGACACATACACACATTTATAAAGGGCAAGAGGGAATATATTAATGCTTCCCTCAGGCCATTTCTACTGCGCATATCTATCTTACTAAGGGACACTGGCCTCTCTGTAGATCAGTGGTTTACAAGTTGTCCGGCCTCTTGCCTCCGTATGGTCTTCCTGTCTCCATCACAGTTAGAGCAGGGCCTTTGTTTCTGGCATGATTGTATCAATGCCACTCTACAGCACAGCTAACATTTATTGCTTACATACTCTAAAAGTGCTGAGCAACCTATGAATTTTTCTGTGTGAATCTTCTCAATTTTTACAGCAACCCTTCAGTGGTATAATTCATGTAGTCATTGTCAGAGTTTAGTGTTTCTACTTTTTGAAGAGCTGAGTACAAAAGAAATGAAGGCAGGTGCCCCCTGTCACATATCAACAGCACTCCCAGGAAGTCTGACTTCTCAGATTGTAGGCTAGCTTTTCCCACACCGCATTCTGTAGTGATAGAAATGTTCTCTGCATGTGTTAAGCATGTGACTGAATTACCTGAGAGCTTGTCTAGCATGAAGCTGGGATTTGTGTTCAACGCTACAAAGACCAGGTGTGGTGGTGCATGGCAGTCAGTGAGAGGGAGAGACAGAAGAACCAGAAGTTTAAGGCCATTCTGCTACAAATCAAGTTTGATAACAGCTTGAGATAAGAGAGATCCTGCTTCCAAGGAAAAAAATATTGTTATCCACATATGTCATCATATGTGGCCTGAGGGAAGCATTAATATATTCCCTCTTGCCTTTTAAAAATGTGTGTATGTGTCATATGCACATGTGTATGTCACATACAGATACATGCAGGTATGTACACCTGTGCACATGCCTAAGAGCAGACGCTAAAGGAAAACATTAAGGTATCTGCATATGTGGAACACATGATGACATATGGCAGTCAGCAGCCACAGGAGGTTGCTGGGCAATGACAAAAGTGGTTAGTGCGATGAGGATCTGAATTGTAAAGTATTTAATTCAATTAAAGGCCCACTGGAGACACCACAACGTAACTGGAGACAGACAATAAGCTACTACACATGCGCTTCCAGGAATGACTGAGTCCACAGGCCACACCCCTGAGGTAAACACAAGCCCCGCATTGCTTTTAAGCCTTTAGATTATTGAGTAGTTAATATTATAGAAGTGAATTAAATTATAGAAGAATATTATAGAAGAATCAAATGAAGCCCATTCAACTGTGTTAGTTCCTATTAAGTAGAAGAAACAGCTCTAAGCAAGGGAGACAAGAGGGGAATGGTCAGAACCAGTGCTCAGGACACTTTGCTGTGGACAGCGCCTCCTTCCACTGCTCTGTCCAAAGCTGATTTACATGTGCTTCATTTTTAAAATAACACATTAAATAACACAAGTTAATATCTCGGATTAATTTGGTAAAAATGAACATAATCTCATAATACACATTTACTATGAGGCAGTAATTTCTAAGAATCAGTGCTTACCAGAGAAAAAAGGAATTCAGCATCAGAACACAACTTCTGGAAGACATTCTTACCAACTCGTCAAGAGTGCAATGTCCTTTACAGGGCACTGGGTGACAGGAAATGACCCTTCAAAGCATGGTTGTTTCCTGCAGAGCTCTACTTGACGTGACCTGTATCCAACTACCTGTTAGGTATTTTTGTTGTCGATGTGCCGAACAACAACGTAGCAATTCAAAGGAGTAGGAGGAGTCGTCATGATTTAGATGCCGAAAAAAAACCCTCTGTTGGACACCAGTGCTGTGATATTAACATGCACATGCTTGAATATACTCCGATCAAACACAAAGCCACACAGCATATGCTTTATGAGTAACCTGCATTAGAAACTCTCTTCAAATTTGCTGGTGCGCACCCAGAAAATGGGAAAAACGTTCCCTCAAAATCTTGATTGAGAGATTGCATTCACTGAACGAGCTAGGGATGTGGCTTTAAAGGAGGTACAGCAGACTGGCAGACGGCTCAAGGTTTCAGGTGTTTTGGGTCTCTTTGTCCTGTTACATCAAGCCTTTATGGTGAGAAATTATACTAAGAGAAGATGAATGGATGAACGAGCTCTGTGGATGACAAAGGAAGGGCTCACTGAAAAGCCAGAGCTGACAATGACAAGCAGTGCTGAGTGGAATCTAACGTCTCTCTCTGACTTTTTAAATGTCATTAAGTCTTTAATATCATTGCTTTTGGTTTAGTGTTAATCTCCAAGTTACAACAAGGAAGCACAAAGTGAAAGCACTGGGTTTAGTTTTGTAGGAATATTAATCAAGCCACTCTTGAAGCTAGTCATGGCGAGCCCGTGCGGTCTACTTTGTTTGTATTGAAGGCAGTTACTGAAGTAAGTGGCATAATGCTGTTTTCCTACGAGAATAAAGTGTAAAATCTTTATAATTATTTTTGTCAACTGTAGGAATAAAATATGATAAGCGTCAGACTCTAAATTCTATTTTGTAGGGATATTAATCAAGCCAATTTTGAACCTCGTCACAGTAAGTCAGTCCATGCTGCCTACTCTGTGTATACTACGGGCAGTTACTGAAGTAAGCAGCATAGCGCTGTTTCCCTACGAGAATAAAGTGTAAAATCTTTATAATGATTTTACCAACTGTAGGAATAAAATATAATAAGCATCAGACCCTAAGTTCTTCAATTTGGTGTAACTGACCACGACAGCCAAGAAACAACGCCCATTTTTGCCAGATTGATTTTCACTTTAGAAAATGCAATGTATCTACTTTGTCAATATATTTTATGGAACTCATAAAAGAACTAGATAAAAATCAATGGAATAATATTGTCTTCCATTATAAAAAGAGTGATGAAGCCGGCATGGCTCGGTACACTAGGACACTGAGTAGTTGTTACTGCCCATGGTGGCAGCAGCATGTACACGCTCTTTTACATGGAAGACCTATTTCCAGTTTACAAGGTAGTCAGTGTGGTACTAACAGCGCTGACCTTCCTTCCACCTCTGCTTACAGGACACATACACAAGCTGTGACTAGTTCCCGGTCACCCAGGTGTAGCAGCATCTCTACTGTATGGGCACACCTGCCAGGGTGCTCACTCCTGCACCCGAGAGCCTTACCTTGCACTGGCAGAGGGTACACTCTGTGCCATGCTTGATCCAGGAAGACCCAGTGAAGCGAACCACATTCATCTCATCCAGGCAGGTTTTGGTGATGTCATTGCGGATGGTATCGGCCTGACAAGGATCGGTGACACAGCGTGGGCAGCACTCGTTCTCAGGAAGGACACTAAATTCACACTCTATCTCTGGGCAAGCCAGGGGCCAGCAGTCAACTTCTCCTTGCTGTGAGAGAAAGAGGCGATGGAAATGAACAAGAGAGAAGAGAGGCAAAGAGGAAGGACAGGATTGTGATTTTTTATACTTAGCGCTTCAAAGCCTGCGCATCTTCAGAGAGTCTACCCAAGTCCCACTGGATAATGGCATCTCTTTTGCGATGGCCGGTTAAACAGTCTTTGAGTACTAAACAAGAACAGCGTGGAAATAAAAGCAACAACCATTCCCCCTAACAGTACAATGTGAACAACACCATCTTCTCTAGGGCAAGGAGGAAAAGACGAAGTTTAAATGCAGTGTCTCATCCTTGGATAGCCTTGATTTCCCTGTCTAACTTATTTATTAATCTTAAAAAAAGGTTTATCCCTTTACAACTCCTCAAAAAAGGAAATAAATACAAACAGAATTTGGCTGTTTCCTTGCTAAGTTATACATTTTTCAGATGTATAACTGGCTTTGAACACACCACCTCAACAAGACAGCATAGAATAAAACAACAGAAAATTTGATTTCCTTCTTTTATTTCACATGGGAAACTCTGAGTTGGACCTTTGAAAAAACAACAGCTCCCCCCGCTCCCCATTGGCTATTTTCTTCTTAGTTTTAAATCTCAGGGTTTCAGGGATGAAAGCAGCCTTTGGGCGCAGAAACCAACCTTGTTCTCGGGATTGATTTCTGGGTTGAAAGGACAAAGAGGCGGCGACACAAAAGCGAGGCCCCTAAAAATATCTGCACACAAACAGGAAGGGCCTGGCCACGACTTCAAATGTGTCTTCCCTGTGACACTTTTCTACCACAAAGACACACGCAGCATCTGTCTCTTTTAATTTACACCCTCAGGAAAGAGCAAGACATGTAGTCAATTGGAAAACGTTGGTAAGTTTTGGGTTTTTTTTTTGGTCTCTATTTAATCATTTAATCTTTTCTTCTTCACGCCTCGTTTCTGGGGAGTTTGACAAACATCCAGTTCTAATATGTATTCATCACGTAGTCATGGAGCGTGGGGCCGCAGAACATAGGAACCGCAGATGAGAACAGGCGTCAGCAAGGAGGAGTGTTTTCTTCTCTTTTTTCCATTTTACAACACGTGCATGGGTAGATGTGTGTAAGCATACGTGTTTTTTGCATGGATGTGAATGTATTCGTGTGCAGATGACCATTAGGGGCCTGAGATTGATGGCATGGATTATCCTCGCATAACCTTACTTTCAGATGCAGACTCATTGGCAGGACTGCTCTTTCCGGCAAGCTTCCTGTCGGATCCTCTGCCTGCCGCTGCTGGAATGACTGGAGGCCACCATGCCCACATGGCGTTTACTTGGATTCTGGACATCTGAGCTATGCTCCTCACACATGCAGGGCATGCACTTTAACCATCAGACCATTTCCCCAGCCCCAGTATGTTATCTTTGTTTTGTTTTAAGTTCGAGGAATTAACAGAGATTGGTTAACAGATTTACCTGGGGGAGAGACTGATTTTTTTTTCATGAATGCACAGTTCATAATTATCTTTAAACATACGATGGATGGAATAAAGGCACAGGAGGCTTTTCTCAGCTTAGGCTGAAGGAGTACTTCAAGAGGTCTCGCTCTCAGAGAAAGCATATACAGTGTGGGCCACTCCAGCTTTCCAGAGCAGTGACTCTCAATCTTCCTAATGCTGTGACCCTTTAATACAGCTCCTCATGTCGTGGTGATCCCCCAATCATAAAATTACTTCATTGCTACTTTATAACTGTAATTTTTCTACTGTTATGAATCATAATGTAAATATTTGATATGCTTGCTATCTGATATGCTGTAAACGACTTGTTTGACCTCCCAGGGAGCCATGACCCACAAGTTGAGAACCATGGCTCCAGAGGCTGTCTTTGGGTTTCTCTCTCCATTACTCTACCCAGGCTCTGCATTTGCAACTGTTAACATCCCAGCCAGTTGCTTGCTGCTGGTAGGTGGAAGGAGATGCTTTCCTGCTTAACTTACCAAGCAGCGGCACTGGCGGCAATCCTGGACCCAGGTGTCACCACTGTTGTACACGATTTCCCCGTTTTGATGTAGGCACTGGCTGCTTAGCCTTGGATCACACTCAGGGCAGCAGGAAAGGTCAACTGTAGGATTTTCACAGTCACAGACCATCCGTCGACACATAACAAATCCAGTCTGTGTTTAAAGGGGAAGAGAGTGTTACAGCACACCCCTTGATTTCCCAGAATATATATCTTGAATATATATGTATAAATAAATGTAATATTCATATATTTGACTATTATAATGCAATTTGGTTACTAACAGCGTTCTGGTTTTTGGTGTATTAAAGAGAGATGTGTCATTGTAGTGCTCTATAGCAAGTTAATAAACTTCACAAATAACCAAATTTTTTTGTAATAATTAGGCATTATGTTTTTCTACAATATCAATTTCATTCATAGTAGTTGACTATTTTGTACATAGACTATGCATTTAACTGTGATTTAAGTACCCATCATTAACTAAATAAACACAAAAGAACACATGCCTTATATAACATTTATTCAGATAGAGATTTTCCACTCTTGGGTGAAGGCTTATCTATTCTGACTCATTTATTCTTTCATTCAAATATGATATTATGACTTAGAAAAAATTAATACTGTAATAAAATATTATTAATGTAGATAAATACATTGTGATAAATGGTACAAAGGGATATTGTTCAGTAACAAAAAGAAAAAATAGATATATGCAATAATACAAATGCTTGTGGAAAACTATATTGAGCAGAAAGAAACTAGGCACAAAGACCATGCTCTGTCTGGTTCCACTTATGTGAGGCTCTAGAAAATAAGAACTTAATTCTAGCTATTATTTAGCTGGGAGAAAAGTTGGCCTGGCTCGGGGATGAGGTGGAGTGGTGAGGGGAAGAGGGAAGGGGAGGGCTATCTAGGAAGGACATGAGCAACATTTGGGTTAATGAAAATGTTCAGTTATAGTAGCTGTGGTTGTGATCAAAAAGTTGCGTACGTTTGCCAATCCTTGTCAACCTACACACTCAGGATGTCTGAACACCACAATCCGAGTAAGGTGTTTTGTTTCTACCCACCTGGCAGGAGCACACAGAGCACCTGTCGTTTTCCAGCACCCAGATCTGGCCGTTGTGCTTGACTTTCCCATCATGCACGCAATCTCCCGTGCAGTTCTTCCCGTGGGGACACCGGCAGTCGTATCCACCGTCCAAGTTGAAGCAAACGGTGTCATTGGCACAGCTGTGCCTCCCAGTTCCACATTCGTCAATATCTACAGCCAAGAGGAGTGGAACGACATGACCCAGAATATTCTCGGTTTCAAGCAGTTGTAATCAGGCAGGTTGTCTGTCCCACCGACCCAGGCGTGCTTTCCCTTTCAATGATGACTAAGGCCCTGGATCGCTGGAGTTCATGGGAAAGCATTATATAGTTTTGATTTTAAGAAAATATAACCTTGCCTGGAATTCTAACTTTCATATCTGTCTAAATACCATTAGATTTTGAGAAACAATAATCCCTCTGGAAGTAAGGATGCAACTCAACTTATTACATAAACCAGCTTGGTGGTGCAAATTTCACAAGTGTTATGATATTTTCCTGGGGACATTACTCCTAGTGTCACACTGGTATTTGCAGAACATCCCTGTTTTGTGGGAGAGATGGGGCGGGGTCAGGGCTGAAGCACTTTATCCTATTTCAAACCCTAGTCTCATGGCCACCTTCACACAGTGCAATTCCTGCATTTTGTCCTGGTGCTGTTGTCCTTCCCTCAAGGTCTAGGTTTGCTGGCAATGTCCTTGAACCCTTCTGCATAGCAGGGAGGGAAGAGACAGCCTGCAATTACCATTTCTCCCAAGGATGCTATTCATTTTTAACTTTCCTTTCAGATTAGCCTTTCAGCCCTGGCCTGACTCAATTGGCAGCTGCCCATTCTTCACCCGACTTCACCTATTTGGTGGCAGCAGTAGCCTAAAACATTTTCATACAGATGAAAAGCAAACATATCTTGACCCAGAGATCAGGGCTATAACGAGAGATGTGATTCGTTCTATTTACCCCATAATTTAAAGGTCACAAGCCAAAATACATTTCAGAGAGATGATATGAGTGGCGGTAAGTGGTTATTTCCCATTTCATCTGCTTCTCCAAAGGAAAGGTCAAGAAAGAAGTCACTGCAAGAGGAGTTGGTTAGGGAGGAGTGTTTTTGGAAGGAGGGGATCAGGGAAGCCAGGTCAGAGAGGAACAGGTTACAGAGTGGTAGGTTCGAGAGGAACAGGTTAGGGAGGGATGAGTTAGAGAGGAGCCAGTTAGAGAGGAACCAGTCAGGGAGGATCAGTTTAGGGAGGACTAGGTTACCTAGGTTACGGAGGATCAGGTTAGAGAAGACCAGGCTAGAGATAAGATGGATTTGGCAGCTTGTAACTGGGAGCTGTGTACTGATTTTTTTTCTTGAAAATTTTCAAGACAAAGTTGAGTAAATAATTTTTATTTTCTTTTGGTTGGTGTCTTGATTTCAGTGTTAATTGGAGACTCGGGCTGGTTGATTCAATCTCGGCTACATTTAAATTCCAGATGAAATTAAGCCACATGATGTCTTTTCTCTCTATTTACCTTCTTTTTTTTTTTAATTCATTCCCTCTCCATAAAAGTTCTAGATTAGCACAACGACTGCTAGTTGATGACCATAGTGAGTTTTCTCCTAGCTCGATTTGTCAAGGGCAGTGTTTGTGGTATGGGCTATAATTAGAAGAGAAGTCAGCATTCACATATGCTTTAAAAATTAAGTACAATACACCTATACATATTTTAGAGAAAGTAAAGTTTTGTCTTTGAGAAGAAAATGAAATTTTAACTTAGTTCTACAGTGGGCTTTTCATAGTAATAATAATAACAATAATGATAATAATAGAATACATTTGGTTGTTACACTTTGTGTCTATTTAATGTTCTTAGAATTTTGATTATATATGCAGCAAACATTAAGCACGGTAATTCCATCTCTTTGACTGTGAACTCCACAGACACCTCTAACTACATAAAGCCCTTTGACATCCTCTGTAAGATGCTACACAAGGCAGTGGCTGAGCATCTGTGGTCCTCTCTCTCATCCTGCTGGATGTCAGAACGAAAGCACCATGGTTAGGACCGCATCCTCTGAAGGCCGAAAGCTGATGCTCATAAAAATTTAAGTATCCCAAATATTAGTAACTCTTTAGTGAGTTGCTATTAAGTCAGCAATGCTGCTGAGCCCACCGGTCACGTCGGAGTCTCATTGTATTCTATCAGCAGATGTTGGCTCTGCTCACACTTGTAGGAGTGAGCTCACTCCTTCTCCTGTATATTTTTTATGCTCAACAAACATATTGCGGGTGATATTTGACCACACAAAAGAGGAGCTAAAGTGTTTTTAAGCAGTAATATATTTGAAGGTGTGCGGTTTGGAGGCATGGGGGAGCAGGTGTGTTGATGAGAATGGGGTGCCCCGTGTGAGGGCAGGGGAAGCAGCCATATACTGGAGAGCCATGCTCACCCCGAGGAAGGAGAAGGTAAGGAATTTGCCTTTACAGAGGCAATGAAATGTTATTTTGAGTGAATGCAGACCTTCGTTTTAGAGATTTCTGTGGCTTCATTTTGGAAAATGGCTTTAAATGGATTAGAGTTTGAAGCCAGGAGCTCAGTGAATTGGCTGGGTCAGGAATCCAGGCAAGGAACACAGTCTAAGCAGACTGGTAAGACTGTTGCTATGTGCGTTACTGAGTACTTTCCATGGACAGCTCATTGGGTCCTTATGCCAGTATGTGAAGTGGCAAGGAAACCCTAAGTTTATAGACCAGGAGACTGAGGCTTGAAGTATTGTAAAACTTTCCCCAGGTCCTTGTGAAGAGGGGACAGATGCCTGAATTGAAAGCAGGCAGTCAGGACCCAGGTGTGACTCTCAGTCAGGACAAGGCTACTCTAGGGAACTCAGAGCAAGAGGTATCGAAAGACCAACGTGACTGGGTTTAAGGTTTTAAGTTTAGGAAGAGGACAAATCAAGACTGTTCCCGTCTTAGAAAATGTGGTTGCTGCTATACAGAAAGAAGGATATCGAATCATTAGGGGATGGAAGAAGGGCCCAGGGAGGACAGCAAGTGTTTACTCTGCTTGGGATCTGTTGTTGCATTTCCTCTGGGCTTCTGCATGAAGATGTCTAGTGTGGATACATAGGTCTGGCACTCGTGAGACAGGACTAGACCAAGACATGGACTTGGTTCAGATATGCTTTCACTATTTACGTTTACCCTTTCAAAATCAGTGTATCAGACTGACATCCAGACTTCACAGCAGACACTGAAAGGTACTTCCTTGGGTCATACCCTTTTTACATCAATAATTTCATTGTGCTTAACACAGTCCTGGAGCAAGTTCAAAGCACTCTGAGAAGGTTTCCTTAATGCAGAAGAAGGACTCTCTCTCTCTCTCTCTCTCTCTCTCTCTCTCTCTCTCTCTGTATGTGTGTGTGTGTGTGTGTGTGTGTGTGTATCCATGTCTCTGTCTTTTTCTCCCTCCCTCACTCCTTCTCTTTCTCTTCTTCATAATGCATCTTTTATGATATGTTTAAGAATTTTCTCAACACTTTCCACCCTGTCTCATGGATTTCTCATCTGTTGAAAGTTCACAGCATCCTCTCTCCTGATACACCTACCGCTATAATTAGTGCAACTGTCCATATGTTCAATATTTACTTGGTGGGTTGAACTAGATGCATTCGGTTTGTATCTTATGATTATTAAATAAATAATGTGTGATATTTGGCTTGAACACGGTACTGCAAGCCTCACCAAACTGCCAAATTTGAATACTGTTTAGAAGTTTAAAAAGGTCAAAGAATGTGGGCAAGTAAGTATGAAACATATAATTTTATGGAAAAATACTGGATTTTGTTCCCATTTCTCAAAAGTGCAGATGTAGGAGAAACGATGGCATGGAGCAGAAAAGTGACATTTTAGTGTGTCACCTGGGAAGGAAGTCTGAACTGCTGAGACGGACGGGAAGAAGTGCAGCTCGTGATCCCGTACCTGATGGACGTAGCCCCAGCCTCGGGAGCAGTGCAGTGATACAGCCGCTGGCCTAGGCTTCTGAGTGTTAATCCCACACTTCGGAGTAGCTGCAAATGCGTTGCTCTGGCCGCTCCAATTTGAAATGTTCTCCTTTTTTTTTTTTT